GTCACTGTGATTAAAAGCAAGTACCATACAAAAATCAATGCTGAACTGGAAATGGGGTGGTGGGGTCCAATCTGGTTCCAAGATTTGAGAGACTGTATGGCAGCCAACAGGCGCACACTGACCACTTGTAAGTAATTGTGGTTATTGAATAATGCAATTAAAATGTCTTTTTTTTCCTTTTTTTTGTCAAATGACTACTGTGTTGGAAGGATGCAAATACTTATTAAGTTGTTGGGACCTAATTACTTGACAAATGAAACAGCCAAATCCTTCTGTTGGCCCAGGTTGGGGTGGGTGGTGGGGCGTGAAAAATTACTCAGACACCAAGAGTGTCACAAACCATGCAAGTTTGGGAACCTCAGCCTGATGTCTCTTGCACTCTCTCCAGCAGATAATCCTGACTCCGGCACAGCTGCCACAGTTCGGAGCAGAAGTGCATTCACAGGAAAGGTAAACAAGGCTGCGGCTTAGAGCCCGCATTCGCCCTGCGAGGGCCCTAGCCAAGCATTCGGTGGTCAGAGGCTTCTGGGACAACTGTAGAAGGAAAATATTTAAACTGCAGTGTCTCATTCCCTCTGTCACACATCTTCTATCCTGTCCGAGAGGCTGTGGGCATTTGGGAACGTGGCTGAAGGGAAAATAAAACCAAGGGGATCATCTTCTCTGGGTTTCATGATGTACATTCATGTGCTTTGAAGTCACTTCTGCATCTAGTTAAGTTACCTGTCCTGGGACAGAAATGGTTTCCAGGGACACTGCCACTGCCGCCCTGCTTGCTCCCCTACCTGAGGCCAGAGGTTACACATATGGACCACACTGATCCATTCTGGAAGTATGTGGGCAGCAGAGAAGTATGCCAGGAAAGACTAAATTACTAATACGAGTAATAATAATAATAATTCTTGTCTCTCCATAGGAAACATTACAAAATATGTCACATGAAAAGCTGATCAAAGAGCCTACAGCCGAAGAGTAGGGGAAAGGGGGGAGTATTTTAAAGGTAAAGGTCCACCTGGTAGTTACTAACAACATCATGACATTTTTCTGGGTTGTGTGGAGTTTGTAGTATTTGCCCACTTCATACAATTTTAATTTGTGGCAGTTTGTTTTTTCAATCTAAATAAAGAATCGTTTCCATGCCTAAGGTTGCGTTCATAATTTTGAATTCTTTTTCTTAAAAAGGGTGCCCCGAATCATACAAGTTTCAGAGCCCATCAAACCTGGATCTGCCAGGGGAAAGGTAGGCGTGCCAATCCCCACCCAGGTGGCGGGGCACCCTCGCGGCTCCCTGACCCTCCAGAGCACATGGCTGGCTCACAGGGTAGAAGGGAGACGCCTGAACCAGGCCAGCAGGACACCTGAGCTGCCCCTACAGGACACCAGCCGGGCTGCCAGTCACCGACCAGTCACCATGGCCAGCGTGGGACGGATCCGCTTTAGAAGGACCAAGGGAGCCCTCCAGAGCAGCCCCTGCTCCACGTCAGCGCAGGTGCCCCAGCCCCAGCTCCAGTCATCCTAGAATTGGATCTGGATGCTCTGCCGCTCGGCTCCGTCCCTTCTCCCTTCTCCACGCTGAGCTGCCACCTGGCATGGCAACTCGGGTTCACAAACTCAGTGTGTCTGGGAGAGATGGGCTGAGCTGAATCGCCACCCCAGTTCCTTCTAGCAGGATTGGCAGGGCTGGGAAAGGTCACCAGGTTCATTGTAATTCCAGGGTGACTCCAGTCCTGACTCTGCCCCTCACAGCTGGGTCACTTCAGGCAGTGGCTCTCCCTGTCCAAGCCTCGGTCTCTCTCCTCCTGCAACGTGGAGCTAAGACCGTTTCTTCTGGGGTCTGGGGGTTCTGAGAGAGAGAAGCAGGTAAAGCACTAAACCTCATGCCCATCTTGAGGCCACGAGGTCGCCTGCCAGCTCTCAGCCTTGCACTCAGCCTCCCAGGTACATTTCAGCCCCTCCGCGAGGCTCCGCTCATACTTCTGCAACGTCTCAGAATCCCACCTTTACATTCTAACTCAGGCAGGTCGGGCCTGTTTTTGAAGTCTCCCCCAACAAAATTGCCACTTGGGGTGTGTGAACTTACTGCAGGACCCCATGGCACCCCTGTCTCCTGTCTCCCCCACAAGCCACTCCAGCACGTGGCTTTGAGTCCCCAGCTCTGCCTCCCAAGACACCTTAATGCACAATCTCCACTCCTGCAAACCTTTTGCCAGGCCTCCAGAAATACCACGCTCCACCCCGCCTCCTTGCATTCACATCTATTTCCCTTCCTGCCTAAAACTCTTATTCCCCTCCCCAGCAGCTGGTCGATCCTACCCAACTTTCAGTCTTGGAGGTAAAGTACTAACACCTGCAAGAATAACAGCATGCATTTACAGAGCATCCCCTGTGCATCAAGCGCAATGCTCAGCACCGAATACATTTTTCTCTAGTTATTCCTGCAAACCTGCAGGGTGGATTCCCCTGTCTACAGAGAGATGAGGAAACTAAGGCTCAGAGAAGTCAAGCACGTTGCTCAAAGCTTCAGAGCTGGGGACCAGGAGAGGCAGGAGGCTGACCCCATCTGTCCGGCTCCTGGGCTGGAGCTCTTTGCTCTGCATCTGCGGCCTCGCTTCCAGGTCCCAGCCCTTTCACCCCAGCCTCCGGCCCCCTGTGGCCCACACAGTTGTGGGAACACACTTCCCACTCCCAAGCCTGAGAACTCAGAGCCAGGATTCAGGATTAACGACCCAACCTTCGCTTCCAGCAAGAACAATCGCGCCTTCCAAATTCTCAACTGAATCGATAAGTAGAGCTAATTTGGAAAACAGAACGCAGTGTATTCGAGGGAAAAGGGATGAATCCTCCTTTATTCAACGGGAACAGCATGTTCCCCAAATTCAAATCAGCTGCAGGAGCGGATTGATCAAATCACTTGCATTTTAATGCACTGTCCTATATTCAGGACCAGCTAGATGATTTGCAGAGCCCAGTGCAAAAGGAAAATGTGGGGGCTCCTTGTTTCAAAATTATTATGAATTCCAAGATAGTCACAGCAGAGCATTAAACCACGCAGCATCCTACTAAGCAAGTCCAGCGGGACTGGACAGGTCGCACACCCGTGAAACCGGCCCTACCTGTATTCCAAAGTCATTTGATTTAAAATCTAAAGTGCCCATGAAATACTGAGAAGCATCACATTTGCTCAGGACCTGATAGAGATGCTGCCTTAATCTGGTTGAGCCCAGGAGTCAGCCTACAGGGGCGGAGGCAACACTCCAAGAGCTGGGAGGCAGGTGCCCGTCTCCCATGACCTAGGATGCCGAGCACAGCTCACAGGCCGTGAGGCCAGCCCCCTCAAACCAAAGGCTGCTCCACTTTAAAATAAGGAGGCTCAACCTAGTGGCTTCCAAGGTCCCTCTCAGCTCCACAGAGTTAAGGGAAGAATTCACTTAGGATTTTTAACCTAATTTCTTCAACTTTAAGTGCCAGCAAAGATACTCATATTTTAAAGACTGCTAGTCATAGCACAGCCCAGTCCTGACAACTGAAAGGATGCTGAGAAAAGTACAATATGGGAATAAACTCCACCAAAATGATGGCTGGATGCATCCAGGGTCTGCTCACCAAGGGACTATGGCAGGCTGGTCAGGGCAGCCACCCTCCTGCACTTGCCCCAGTCCCCCTGACGCCTCCCGTCCTTTGTGTGGTGTGGGATTGGGTATAAGTGACAAAGGAAATACAGTTCTTTTGAAGGCAAGGACACAAATGCATTGCACAGAGGAGGCTGGAAATGAAAGCCAATGAAAAACATGTTCCCATTTTCATATGAAGGACCAGGAGAAGTAATTACCCTGAGATGCCAGCTGGGACCCACCACTACTCTAGATTCAAAGTCTTGCCCAAAAGCCTTGGGAAATTTCTCTTGGCCACCAGCAGACACAGCCAGCCAGTCTCCTACAGGCTCAGAAACTGTAAATAAAGGAACAAACACAGCAGACTCCCAGTGGGGCGCCATGAACACTTTAAATAGCCACTGAGGATGGTTCAGTTGAGTAAGGGTCTGGGACACACTCCTTGGCTGTCATCAGCCACCCTCCCACAGCCCCAACACCACGAGCAGGAGCTTCTCCCCCCGCCCCTGATATGGGATCCAGTTTCTGGAGCCCCATCCTCCAAGTGCCAGCCTAGATTCAGACCTAGAATCCAGCGACACCCTAGAACTCTTTGCCATGGGGCTGCAGTTCGGAGGCTGTCCTCTTCCTCATCTTTAGGTGGTCCCGGGGTCATGTCCGGACATTTCTTTGTCCCCAGTACGGTCAGATTGATCATAACTACAAAGAGGCTACTGGATGTTAAATAAATCCAGGCCCAAATCCAGAGGGATCCCAGCAGGAGGAAATTATCACACTCCAGGCACATCGTCACAAGGGCCCGGGGCCCACGTTCACCCACTCTGTTCTTTTACAGAGAGGCCACGTGGAGCCTGGCAAGGCTGGGGGTGCAGGTGGGGAGGGGACACAGGGATGGATCCAAAGCTTTTCCCTCTACTTCCCCTGTGCCTACTGCCCAGAGCCAAAGGTCCCCACACTTCTGATGGGGCCGGGGTGTACCTGCAGGGAGACAAAGCAGCAGAGAGAAGGAGCGGCTGCAGTCCAAGGCCGGCTGATGCGGGGCACCTGCAACAGCCAGCCGCTGGCACCGCGGAAAAAGAAGCCAGAAGACTGAGCCTTACACTGCCCGCCGGGGCCCCGCCACGCTTCTCCCACATCAGGACCTTTGTGGCAGGCCTGGAATATGGCTTCCAGAACCTGGCCAAGCGCGAGCACCCGAGGTCCAGGTGGGACACCTGACCCAGGTGTGCAGGCGTGTGGCGACAGGCCCAGGAGACAGGCCAGCAGTTAACTAACCTGACACCACGCAGCTGGCAGAAGGGCTGGCCCACCGTCAGGGAGAGCACAGGGGATGCTTTTTCACTAAGAAAAGCTCTCTTTGTGAGTCTGCGTGATGAATTTGAGATTTACCTTGAAGGCAGAGGAGAAGTCCAGCCCAGCGGAGGGGGAGAAAGAGCAGCAGGCAGGCTGCACTGAAAGGAGCCAGGACAGCGGAGAAACACAGTGCTTCCTCCTCTTCCACTGAACTTTGACTACTTTCTCCCTGAGGGTCAGGAGAGAAATCAATTTAAACAGGTTCCTAATGGGTAATGACGCATGAAGTGTAAAGGGGATGGGGCCTCCTTTGGCAAGAGCTGGGGACTGGGGGAGGAAAGAAAAGCACAACCCAGTGAATGCAGCAAAGATGCCCAGCAAGACTCATTTTCTCCATGTCTGCAGTTTGAGTGACTGCCTTCTGTCTGTCCCACTACATTGAATTCCAAGGAGACGTGTCAGCCATAGCAGCAACCCAGAGTCTGGCCCAGCGCTGGTCTGGACCGTGAAGGCAGCAGAAACAGAAGCGAGACCTTGCACATTCCAGAAAACCAGACCCCCATTCTAATCGGTGCTGCGGCTGCAAATTCCAGGGCAGAGGGGCCCATGCAACTAGGTTTCTCTGAACCCTGCAGAGAAATTGCACCAGCAGGAGAAAGGCATCGCTTGTGGCCAAGGCAGCCGGCTTAAGTCTGAAATCAGCCTGAAAGTCCCGCACGTCACTGGGGCCGCTGTCTGCAAATCAAAGGGAGAAAGAGATGGGAAAGACGCAGCTTTGGAGTCAAGCTTCCCATGGCCAAAGGCCCTCAGCCTTATTTTTCTTTTCTTATTTTTTTTAATTGCAGTATAGTCAGTTTACTATTTTTCTTAAACTGAATTCACAAGTAGCAACTGTTTTTTTTTTCTTTAAGGTTCAAAATGGAATGGTGGGCCGCTGCACTCCCTGCCATTTGCACGGAAATAAATAAAATTCAGGAGAGCGAGGTGTGACCCATTTCATCCCTCCCGATGAATAAAGAGGGAAGGCGGCAGAGCCTGGGCGCCCGGCCTCAGTCTCCTGCCCACACTGGCACATCCAAGCGCTGGCAGCCCCTCTTTCCACTGCAGTCTCCCAGACGGCGCAGGATGGGAAAAGCTCACCTGACGCCAGACCTCAGCCTGCAGAGCCGTCCCCCACATCCATGTGCCCTGAGCAAGAGACTGTTTGCAGGGGCTGGGCCAAGGCTGTTGTCGATGGTGCTGCAAAGACTTGGGCAGGTGAAGTGAAGGAAGAGAAAGGGCCACCCAAACAAGTCTAAGACAGCCTGCGGGTGAGGAACGAGCTTGGCGGGGCACCTGGCCAGCTGGCTGTCAGTTACCAGCACGGCCCGGTTCTGCAGCAACCACTTTCCCAGGAAAAGGTGGCTTTTCCAGAACAACGCGTCTGTGTTTAAAGGTGCCTGTCTTTGATAATCACTTTTCAGTCTCACTGGCCAAAAAAAAAAGGTCCTTGCTTGTAAACCTGTGGTGAATGTGGATTTGGTGGGTACTGTCACCTTTAAGCGTCTTTGCTGACCTATTTTATGTATTAGGAGAAAAGTTTCCCATCAATTTCACCCCACAACGTCTTTTTTCGGAAATCTCCTGGATGCCCGACATGGTGTCTATTATTATCCTCGGGGAAAAGGCTGACTGCTCAGTCCACAAAAACGCTATTAACTCTCCTCTTGATAAGCATCTGGCTCCGGTCATGACCTTCCCAGATTTCTCAGCTGGGTTCTCTTCCCGCTCCAGCTCCTCCTGGCTGTTGTGTCTGAAGGAGCCAGGGCAGTTTAGGCTCCCGAATCGTCCAGCCACAAGCAGCGGGCTGGGAGGTGATGGTTCTGCTTATTAATGGGTCTGGGACAGGCTCCTGAGCTGTCAGCAGCCACCCTCCCACGGCCCCCACTGGAGGAGGGCGGGCCTGGGGTTTGGGGTAGGAAGCTGGGAAGATAGAGGTGGGGCTGTGAATCAAGACCCTCCATCCAGGAAGGGGACCATTCTTCCTCAGGAGTATCCCCTGCCCATTTGCTCGAGGTGTGAGGAGGAGAATGAGGGGGACTTGTAAAACTGAGACAGAAGTCAGAAGGAATCTTCGGCTCACGTGAGAAGTGAAAAGTGGGCTTTCAGACCCAAGACAAGCCATTTCCCCTCTCTGGGCCTCAGTTACCTCGTCAGTAAGACGAGGGGGTAGGCTAGACCATTGCCAACATCCTTGCCAGCTCCAGAAAAAGTTACCTGATCTAATAAGTCTGAAAAGTGCATTTCCTGATCTTTTCCTTCCAGCATATAATTCCCATCTGTACAGAATACTCTCATTTTCAAGGCTGGCTTTCTGCGTCCCATGCTCCAGTGTCTCCCGATAGAACAAGTCAGGGCCACCTCAGCCATCTAGACTTTCAAAGTGACTTTGGGGGCTGGGATTAGGGTTTCCCCATCAGGAAGAGGAAATAAAATAAAAGCATGGCTTTCCTATATTCACACACGGAATATTATTCGGTCATAAAACAAGATGAAGCTCGAATACACGTTGCAACATGAGCACATTATGCTGAGTGAAAGAAGCCCAGGCTTTGTCACAAAGGACCACAAGTGCATGATTCCTTTTACATTAAATGTCCAGAGGAGGGAAATCCATACAGACAGAAAGCAGATTACTGGTTGCCTAGGGCAGAAGGGAAGTATGGGGTGGCTGCTAATGGGTACTGGGTTACTTTCTGGAGTGATAAAACTGTTCTAGGATTACATAGTGATGATAGATGCACCTCGCTGTAGACACATAAAAATTCTCAACTGCACACTCTGAAAGGGTGAATTTTATGGCACGTGAATTGTATCTCAATAGAAGTGCATTAAAAAAGAAAAAAGGGATCACTGTTTCTTTTTACTTCTTCAATGTAGCTACTAGAAAACTGTATTTTATACATGCGGCTCATGTTATATTTTGGTCTACATTATATTTTGGTCTATGTGTAAACAAACATTTGAATAAACATATTGTTCACTTTTCCAAACAAACACGGTCTGGCCTCCTCCTGCATCCTGGACAGAGCTGGCAGCTGGGAGGCTCAGGGCACAGAGCCCTGGGCTGGGCAGCCAGGGACTCAGAGTTTCTGACACAACCAGGCTTGTGACCTCAGGCCTTCACGTCCCCTGGCTGGTCCTGGTCCATCGCTGAAAACACAAGTTTTGGATCAGCTGACCTGACAACCACACAATCCCCTTTCGGTCAGTCTGTAATCACAGCTCCATTCACAAGCAAAACCAAATTTTAAAAGTTCTCATTCTACCTCAAATGCTGCTTATCTTTTAAAATCAGTCAACCTGGGAATAACAGTCACTTAAAGACAGACCACGTAATTTACTGACTGAGCAGAGCGGCTGGTACCATCCTATTCCATTTATTCTGAAGGATCTCTTTTGGGAGAATTTCTTCTTGGCTGCCCCAGCTTCCAGTGATTTAGAAGGTTGATAATTCTATAGCTGAGAGCAATGAATATGGGTCCAACCCCCTAGAAAATAATTTGGCAACATACACCAAAGGACATAGAAAGTCCTCACCCTTCCATCCAGCCACTGCACTTCTTAGGATCTATCCCAAAAGAACCACCCTAGTGCAGAAATAACCATGAACATGAAAACGTTTGTTTCTGTATTGTCTACAACAGCAACCAGGGCCCAAATGGACACAAAGAGGGACCAGTAAACCAAAGCATGGTGCTGCTCGGGACAGAAGTGATGAAGCTGCTGGAATGATGGGGGAATCCTGCATCTTTTGTCTTCTTTCATTTTCAATGTAATAAGTTCTCTTTATAACTTTTTTAAAAAACTGGTACAGTGCAATATGCTATCAAATGTATGAATGCATTTCTCATGATATCGGAACAGTACAGTGAAAAGAAGTTAAAAAGAGCCTTTATGCTAAGAGAGGAAAATCTTGGTACAGTTATCCCAAAGAAAATCTAACCACAGCATAAAAGACATTGAAGCGTCTCAGCGCTGACTTATCTGGCACATTTACCTGGCTGTTTATACTGATTTCTTTTCCTTTCAGCAAGAGCACTGTAATTTTGGTTCAAGGGCATTAATATGTGCTTATAACTCTTGAGATGAGAAGTCAGTCATTACATAGCTTTTTGGTCATCTTCCAACCCAAAGAGGGGATTTTTGGGGTGAGGGGTGGGAGGAGTTTTCTTCAGCATCATTGTTTAGTGGGAGACTAAGTGAAAGCACCCACTGTTTCTCTGCCTCCTGGGAAAATCATGTGCATGGCCCCTAGCCTGTCCCAAATACCCACCAGCTCCAGCAGAAAGGTGCAGCTGAGGTGGGCAGGGCTCCAAGGCTCTGCCTTGGGCCTCAGGACGGAGTCCACACTGGCCAACAACCCTGCCTCCCTCCCCGATGAGCTAAACAGCTTGTGAGAGTCATATTCCCTTTGGATGCCTCTCTCTAAAGTGACGGGTTGGGCCATGGGAACTGCGAGAACCTTCCACACTTAGATTTTGTGCTCTGGGATTCTGTCCATAAGCCAACTGGTGGCTTCAGCCAGTCAAGAGCATCTCTGCAGGGAAGGAGGTGTCTCTGTCCATCAGATCCCAGAAAACATGAAAACGGGGAGTTGATGTGGTTAGAGGCGGGCTGTGGAAGGCGAGAGCACAGCGATGCTTTTCAGAGGACGGAGGACTGTATGGGTGGCCAGCGGTGGGTACTCCAAGAGAAGAGACCTGGACGACAGTACTATAGAACCCCACAGATGGGAAGATGTCACAGCACGTGGGGCCCTTCTAGGTGGTCCCGGGTTCTTGCCCTTCCTCCTGTACCTTCTGTGCTATGACCGGACTTCTCCTCCTGGGTGTTTGCCAGTGAGGGCTGAACCATACTGAGCTACATTTTTCAGAGCCAAAAATGTCAAACTGGTGGAGAAATGTCAAACTAGGATCTAAGAAACCTCAACTCGGGCCATTTCTTGACCAACAAATGTCCAATAGGAACTCAGCCTGAGGAGCTCAGAATACAGACTACAGCTTCCCCGATAAGGAGCATGTGTTCTCTAGGATGTAGGCACAAGAGATGGTTGTGTGCCCTGTATAATATTTGGATGCTAGTGTTTTGAGCCAAAGCATTCTGCCATGGGAGATGATGGTAGTGAGCTCTGCTTTTGGCTTCCCTGAAACAGGTCAGTGCTTGACAAGCCCAGAGGTGACCCAGGTCTTGGCACCCAGGAAGCATATTATTTTCTCCATATTTCTGGATCCCGTGTTTGGTGCTGGTTCTCCCGGGAGTCCTGGAAGAGTCTGGAATTGCCAATTCAAGGTCCTAATTCCTTGCAACCACAGTGCTCCAGCACCGAAAGTTGACAAAGCACCTTCACACTCATTATCGCATCTGACCCTCACAGTGTCCTTCTGAGGTCTCCTGGGCAGCACTGTTATCCCCTCGTTGTAGATGAGGAAATGGAGGCCAAAGGGAGTTAGCAACTAAAAGGTCCAAGGTGAGGCTGGAACACTCAGAGGCCATAAAGGAGACGGCAGTTTAGAGCTTGAGAAGGGACTCCAGAAACTTCAACATTCATCTTCCAGGAATGGACAGACCAAGCAGGGAGATGATCAGTAAGGACACAGTTGACCCGAACAGCATTATCAATCCCCGAGACCTAACTGAGGCTTATGAAACACTCCACACGACAAGAGGAGAAGAGGCTGCTGTTCATATGGGAC